TTAATTAATGGTTTTCTTTGCCTAATGCTAATGAAGAGACCGGATTTCATGCGGGTGGGACTAGAGCCTTGTGAATTCCCAAGTGCTTTTTTTTAACTCTTATGCAGCCACACTTGACACCAGTGCTTCTTTGGGCCCTTGCACGGATCATCAGACCCTTGCCCTGACCATCATGGAGCTTAGCATCTGTCAAAAAAATCAGCCATCCCGTAGCAGTGACTTCGATAACCCATTAATTTCTGTACATTATGCACAAAAAGAGGTTGTTTCCTCTGAGGAAGTTGTATGAATATCCTTTCAGGAGGTGTTTACATTGTGCCTAGTGGTTTGTGAGATGTGAGCGGAACTGTTTGTAGATGTCAGTGTGTTTATATAGACAGTCACAGGATACATTGGCAAATGCACACTATGCCTTTGCTCTAATTTTCCTTCCGTTGGCAACTGCAGCTCATGGCCAGATTCCCATTTAAATTTTTATACATACACATGCACTCACACGCTTGTATATATAGCTGTAGGTTAGATGCAAGTGTATAGATACAGATACAGATATAGATATAGATATAATTGGTATAGGTTTTAATGGATTTGGAATGTTCTGTGGAAAGCATCTTCTCACTGACGTGTCAGTATATTCTGCTTGGCTTGCCTTTAAGCACTGAGGGTGTCTGTGACAGCAGTTTGAGTAATCGATGATGGGAGTCCTTTGAAATGAAGCCAGTAAGTCTGTGATGAGTTTGCTTTGTCAAAGAGGGTAGCAGAAGTTATTACTTAATTCTTTGCTGAGTATTTCCCACAGTGAGTAGCTGTGGAGCTTCATGTAGCCACACAAGTGCTAGCGTGGCTGATGGAAGGGGGTCATTTATACCAACCAGAACAAGTGGATGTCTGTGTTCAGAGTAGCTCAGGCACGCTCAGTATGCAGCTGACTTGGTGCTCTTCTAACAGAGAAGACAGGGGAGACTGGAGGCTATCCCCAGTTTCATGTTTTTATGAAGTGCTTCTTGTTTTTATTATTAGCTGACTCCTCAGCCATTCGTTAGGCACTGAGAGCTCTGAAATGCTGCCGTATTTAATCCATAAATGTCAACATTCAAAAGCAATTTCCCAAGATAATTTTTATAATTTTCCAACTGAAACAAGCATGCATGACCTACGTATTTTTGCTTATAAACTTATTCTAGAGACATGTCATCCTTTTCCCTGAAAGAAAAATTTGTGCCATAAGTGCTGCACAGCATCCCCCAGCCCTCTGCGTAGCGTTGCAACTGTGTCGTCTGGACAGTGCCCAAAATCAGGTGGAAGAAACCTTAAAGTCTTTCAGCCTCAGATTGGTTAAAGGGCTGACAGAGTCCTGAACAGAAGGTTAAACAGAAGGTTGTAAACTGTGAATGTGGCAGGGATGGCTGCACTCAGTTATTAGTGCCTTGGAAACTAAGCATATAACAGGCTGCTCTTAAAGCTTGTCTAGCAGGTAAAGAACCCATTCAGCTGATGACACAAGAAGGCAAGACTCTGAAAGATGCACGAACCAGAAGGAAATTGATCAGGATAGCAAAAACAGATGCAGAAGTCAGGTAGTCACAAAGAGGAGCAGCAACAAACTGGTGAAAGTTCCTCACCCAGTCTACACACGAGAAGCTGCAGATGTTATACAAAAAGGCACTGTTCTCATTTCCCTGCATTTGCTTCATACTCCTGTTTATTGCACATCAAATGCGTTTACATATCCAGGGAAGAAATGGAAATGATGGATGCAAAGGAGATATTTTTGTTAATTGTTGTTGAGCTGAGTCATGCCTGACTGGAGCTGCTGGAGATGGGTGAGGGAAGACAGAACTATATTAGATGTATAAATAATTGTCAAGAGCAACTTTTAAACCTATCTGTTACTACATATCAACATCTAAAATTATCCAAAGAGAAGAGGGGCAAAAATACAAGGACTAAGCCAATGCCAAGTCTCTGTCAAAGTAGATGTTGGCAGCTGCCTTTGAATCTTTGTCCATTTTATTATTTATTTATTTATTGGGGTATTTCTGCCCTGTTGGAGCTTCAATCATGTTCTGCCACAACCCAAACACTGCCTGCTGGATGTTGCAACAATGGTGTCTTTTGCTCAGAGCTGATGGGTATGTGAGAGTTGGGCTGCCTTATCTGCACAACACTAATGAAATGAGTCCGCATTTTTGTCCCATTAGTTGGAAAGTGATTGTTAATGTGCTCTCATACATGGAACGTATGAGATGGGAAAGTCTGAGAAGGGAAAGTTATACTGGAAGTGCTTAAAGATAGCGTTTTTTTCACAGTGGATTTATACTGCAGAACACACAGAAAGATTTCTGGTCATCCCTGCTCTGCAGGAGTGCTGAAGAGGGATTTTGGAAATACCTTTCTAGGGATGGTTATGTGATCCTTGGGTTCACTATTGATGTGGGCTGTGTAAGAGACTGAAGTGGTTCAAAACAGCTGAAGTGCAGTTTGGTCATATATGAGTGGCAGCCAGAAAACCCAAGCCCCACATTATTTTGGAAATACCATTCTTCAGAATATCATCTGATACAAATCATGGCTTCCAATGCAATTGACAATAAAATACATCCATGGCACTCCCTGGTTTATATCCATCCCTGTAATCCTTCTGCTGTGAAATAATCCATGAAACAGCTGTTTCCATTAGATAGTAATTCAAGAAACAACCCTGCAGCAGGACATAGTCTGTAGTTTGGCCTCATAACCTTATTCCGGAAAGTATAATGTAGATTCTCTAGGTGGAGAACTCAGGACAAAGCATTCAGCCCTGTTCCCTTTTGCTTTGTTTGCATAGGGGAAAATATCTGCATTTTTAGCATTATGTGGGAAAATATCTGGGTTTATGACAAACTGGAGGCTTATGGAGAAGCTCTGGGGAATCTTTAGTGGCAGAAAACAGATAATATCTGAAAAAAGAGAGGTAATTGCTTGGAAATTATTAGCAATTTTGAGATTTTTCATTTAGCTGGAGTTAGCTTGTGTATGAGATGGCATTCACAAAGTGTTGGTTTGTTTACAGGGTAACATGTCTACAGCAAGCTTGCTTCATCATTCTCTAGGCTCAAGAAAGGGTACCAGTATCAGCCTTCTGTTAAGAAATCTTAGGGCTCATGATTTATTAATGGATTGTTTGCAGTCAGATGAGTCATGCAAACTCACAAGCCTATTTTTGTACCAGACCGTGTGTTAATTTTAGTCATTAATCTTCCTGCTGGTAATTCTAGCTGACAGAAATTCTAAGTATTTTGGGTTTGCTTTGTCTTTAAGATACCACCCTGTAATTCAGGTGAGTTGTTACTGAATAAAACATTTCTCAGAAAAAAACCCTCCATCTGTGAAAGCCTGCTAGAAGCATACTCAATTGCAGTCCATTTCAGGTTGCCATAAATAGATGAAAAAACTGAATTCAATAGCTAAAAAATGGACTGACAATGTGAGTTCTGCAGTTATTTGCCATATTTCAAATCAATATTTCTTGGTGTTTCTTTTGTATTCTTGACAAGTGAGGCTGAATAATGATAATCTTTATATCAACAAATGCTTCTGTACTACATGATTGTAACTAATTTCAATCAAGCACTTGTCTAGAATTAAGTCATAGGAATGGATTTTGGGTGTCTCATTAGCTTCATTCCAACCGATTTAATAATAGGGTTCTTCCTAAGTAGGTGGCTTATGCCAGTCTCCCACATGGTATTTTTATGACTAGCAGCATCCACATGAAATTGCTCATGCTTTCTTATTTTCTGACCAAACACTGCATGGATTACCATCTTACAAGACATAGAATAATAGAATGGTTTGGTTTGGAAGGGAATTTAAAGATGTAGTTCCAACTGCGAGACCTCCCACTAGACCAGGCTGCTGAAAGTCCCATCCAACCTGCTCTTGAACACTTCCAGGGATGGGGCAGCCACAACCTCCCTAGGCAACCTTTTCCGATATCTCACCACTCTCAGAGTAAAGAATTTCTTCCTACTGTCTAACCTAGATCTCCCCTCTTCCAGTTTAAAGCCGTTACCCTTCATCCTGTCACTACAAGCCCTTGTAAAAGTCCCCTCCAGCTTTCCTGTATGCCCCTTAAGGAGAAGAGAAGGCTCTGGGGAGACCTTATAGTGGCACTGGAAGGTGCTCTAAGGTCCCCCCAGAGCCTTCTCTTCTCCAGGCTGAACAGCCCCAACTGTCTCAGCCTGTCTTCATAGGAAGGTGCTCCAGCCCTCTGATCATATTTTAGGCCCTCCTCTGAACTCACTCCAAGAGGTCCCAGTCCTTACTGTGTTGAAGGTGCCAGAACTGGACACAGTACTCCAGGTGAGATCTCATGAGAGTGAAGTAGAGGGGAAGAATCCTTTCTCTTGACCTGCTGGCCACGCTTCCTTTGATGCAGCCCAGGACACCGGTGGCTTTCTGGGCTGCAAGCGCACATTGCCGGCTCATGTTGAGTTTCTCATCAACCAACACCCCCAGGTCCTTCTCCTCAGGGCTGCTCTCCATCCATTCTCTGTCCAGCCTCTATTTGTACTTGGGATTGCCCCAACCCAAGTGCAGGACCTTGCATGTTTCAATCCAGAAGGGAAGTGGCAAGACGATGTAAATTTCTTCTCCCGCTGTTTCTGATATTACTGAGGGTTAGCATTTCAAAGTAGAGGGGAGTACAATCCAGTTAATTAACTGCTACGTAAAGTAACGATCACTGGACAGTTGATAGGTCAAAGTAATTCCATTTCTTTGATATCTGCTTATTTCCTTTCACCTCTTTCTCCTCCCAATTTACCTTGTGTTTTATTCGCAGTATTTATGAAGCTCTAAGCTTTTTACTGTCTCAGAAGTAGTAACTTACAAGTGCCTACATTACACCGGAAAAAGCAAAGGGGGTGGTGCTGCTCGGTAACTGGTAACTCTTTTGTTGACAAATAAACAAATTAAATTCCCTGAATCTTGAAACTGTATTTAATTATATGTTTCAGGAACTTCTATTACATCACGATGCTGAGGGATCCTGTGTCACGCTACTTGAGTGAGTGGAAACATGTCCAGAGGGGTGCGACGTGGAAAACTTCCCTTCATATGTGCGATGGAAGAAGCCCAACACCAGACGAGCTGCCCACCTGTTACGAAGGAGACGACTGGTCTGGAGTCAGTTTGCAGGAATTCATGGATTGTACCTACAACTTGGCCAACAACCGCCAGGTGCGCATGCTGGCAGACCTCAGCCTGGTGGGATGCTACAACTTGACTTCTATGAATGAGAGTGAAAGAAATACGATTCTTCTCCAAAGCGCCAAGAACAATCTGAAAAACATGGCCTTCTTTGGGCTCACAGAGTTTCAGAGGAAAACCCAGTATCTCTTTGAGAGGACCTTCAACCTGAAGTTCATTTCCCCATTCACCCAGCTCAACGTGACGCGGGCCTCCAACGTGGACATTGATGAGGATGTGAGGCAGAGGATAGAGGAGCTGAATTTCTTGGATGTGCAGCTGTACGAATACGCCAAGGACCTGTTCCTGCAGCGCTTCCAGTACTCCAAGCAAGAGGAGCATCAGCAGAACCGTTTAAAGAGGCGAGAGGAGCGGCGGCTGCTGCGGGAGCAGAGAGCTCACCAGTGGCCCCGGGAAGAGGCAGCAGAAGTAGCTGTCACTGAAGATTATAACAGTCAGGTTGCAAGGTGGTGATGCTCCTCCATCTTGACTAACCAATGAGAGGATCAGAGAGTTTGTGCCACTTGGCAACTTGGGACATAGCCAAGGAGGGCTTACTGCTTTAGTAAATGAGACCATGTCTGAAAACTGCTCCTCCTTGTCTCTGTTTTTCTTGTTTTCTGCCAGTGAGGAGAATGTATTTTTTTCTCAGTAGGCTTTGGTTAGTGTTATTAAATGGCAGTAGAATAGATTCCTGTCCGAAAAGACTTCCTTCAAAGCCCTAAGCTATGAGGATGTGTTGAAGAGAGAGCTGTATCCTTTGCATTAACAAATATACCCTATACAAGCTGAGCTATCAAAACTTGTGCAGATGTGAATGAAAAATTGGGAAAAAATACCAGGTTTGGTTCCTATGTGACATGAGACATTTCATACTGTTCTTTGCAACTCTAGTGCTTAGCTTTATAGTGAATGAAAGGGAGGAAAGCACATTGCCCTTCAAACCTCTACATGCTGTGTTTTGATTAAGGGAAGAATTTGCTGAGGTGATTAAAAGAGACCTAGGAAATGTGGGGCTGGGCCATCGCTTGTCTGTTCTGTTAGCCAGCAATCCATCAGAGATTATTTCTAAGTGAAGTGATGGAGGGGTTAGCTTATTTCTCCACAGACGTTGAGAGTACTGAACACAGCCAGGTAGCAGCCATCTTTCTGAGTGCATGTGACAAAGGGAAAGCTTTGAGAAATGAGGTTCACATGGCAGCTGGGCACATGTCGCGGAGATTATCTGGCTGGAGGCAATGAAATCAGCCTTTGCATTCACAAAAGGTGAAGAGGAGCCAAGCAACTACAGGGAAGAGGCAAGAGAGAGCAGGAAAAGCTTAAATATGAGTGTGACATTTTCCAGATTTGCTGTAAAAGCCTGAAGATACATTGTCTGTGAAGGCAGGCAGGTTTATGGTATTGTCTGTTAAAATACATTGATGCCAAGTGAATACAATTTAAATTGGTTTTCTCTCTAACTACAGGAGTGGCTAGAAAAAAAATGGCTTTTTTATAGGATACATAATGAATATGTGGAAAGTCTTGATATTTATTACTCTGTATGAAGATTATTGTAAATTTATTGTTTTCATGATGAGAGGTCGATATCTGTTTTTTTCCTTGACTAGAGAAAGATTCAATGGGTTCTTCCTCCACATATTACTTTCTTGTGGCTAAACTGCATCTAATTATTCCAAGATTTTAAGCTGTTCCATCCATAACAGTGGATTTTTTTTTTAAAAGGGTCCTGTGCACCAGAGATCTTTTGAGATTTTTTTTTTCCTTCTTCTAGCATCATTGTAAAGCATTAGGAGGAAATTTCTCCAAGTGCCTCAGAGCAGCTGCTGAATGGAGATGCTGGGAGTGTATTATTGCATGCATGAATGGCTTTTACCTTACAGATTTGCTAATTAGAGATACCAGAGTACCTGAAGTATACGCACATTTCTCATTTATTTTCAAAATTCAAGTTTTTTATCCAATTGGTAAAAATAACATGTTACAGAAAAAAAAGAGGCTGAATTTGAAAATTTGTCCCTTCATTTCCAAGTTGTTTTTTTGAGAAGTTTTTTGTTGTTGTTGTTGTTGTTGTTGTTTTGGGTTTTTTTGTCCATGCTGTATCTTTTTTTCTTCTGACATTATTGCTACTTATCTGCACACAGTATCAAAAATATGATCTAACAATGCTGTTGAGAGTTAATGCATAGAATAATACATTAAGCATGGGATCTCATCATGACCATTAAGAAGCAAAGAGGGCTACCAGAATGATGCCCCGTCATCAATGTAGCTTATTAGCAATATGCTGTTTTATGCCTGATTGTCAATGTGCTTCTTTTGGGGTCAGTAACAGTGTTTTTTGGTCCCTCATACATGTTCCACTCGCAGATCATGTGCATCTCCTCCCACTTCCATGTTCAGGAAGGAGAAGGTGAGACTGTAGGTCATTATACTCCTGGTTGAACAGGGTATGTCTGCCTTAGAGAAGAGCGAGGAGCTATCTAGACTCCCTGGGCAGTACCACTTGGATCCCCATTGCCTGGAAGAGGCGCTCAGGACACCTTGCTTAAGTGTGGACACCTACTTTCAGAGAATTAAAAGGAAATGTTTACAGTCTAGGACTGAAACTCCTTCTGTGTGGCTGCAGGATGGCGAGGCCATGAAGATCTAAGCCTGGCCAGTATCATTGCACCTTCAGCACAGTGCAGGTGTCTTACCTGCTGGCACTGGGGCTTCAGGCTGGGCTGAGCCCAGCCCAGCAGAGGGACAGGCTGGTGACACAGGCACAATGGGGAGCTGTTGCATCTCCCCATTCCCAGCCCATTGCTGCATCTCCTCCTGTGCTGCAGGCCCTGCAGCAAGATGCCTTTGGCACCCGGTACAGTGTCCCAGATGTGCAGGTGCGTTCCTTGGTTCCCTGAGCACAGGGATGCTGGGGGAGCCATGAAGGGCCCCCAGCAGAGGCAGAGGTGGTGTGGGCAGTGGTGTGGGGCATGCAGGGAGGAAGCCAGGTGCCTGGGAGGAAGTAGGCAAGGCCAAATTCACATTGAGGAGGAAGATTAGAAAGGAGGTAGAGTAATTTCCAACCCATTTTATGTTGTGAAACATCCCTTCTTTTTCCTCCTGAGCTCAAAAGCAGGGTCTCTTTCCTAGAACAGGGTCCCCTTCCTGGCATCCCTGTCTCATTCCTCAGCAGGCCACATCTCCTCACTGCAGATGGCAAGAGGGGCCTCATTCTTATTTAGGAAATGCAGTGTTATCTTTTCAGGGGAAATGAGAGAGAGCTCAGAAATTGTTCCCTGCAGCCTCACCAGTGACTGTAAGTATCGGTTTCAGCTGTCTAAGCACACCAACACATTCTTCAGACTTTTCCTTCTGCCTGACAAAACAAAACCTAATGAGGAAAATTGAAGCAGTCTTTGGGCTGTTTACATTAGCTTTAATAGTTTGGCAGTACCTTAATGCCGTGCCTAACCTTTTCCTCAGTCATTTCCCAGGAGTCAAGATTAGGGTCCTGATAGAGCTGCTAATGTGCTGTAGTATCTCTGTTAATGGGATTTGCCTTAGCTTGGGATTTAGTCAAGACTGAAGTGAGTTTGTTGGGTTTTTTTTCCCCCTGGAGACTGCATAGCAGATAGTCCTGGTTGCACAGGAGGAGTTGAGGAGGGGATCAGCCAGTGGCTGAGATCTCTTGCCCAGAGCCCCTGGGACTGGCAGACCCAGCACCTCCTTCCCCAGCTTCATCAGTAGATCCAGCAAACTCACTGTGCCAACAATACTGCTTTTCTTAGCAGAAGTTCCTGGCATGTGAAAAATAAAGCTGTTTGGAAATAGTTTCAGGTTGAGTTCTAAGACACAAGCCTGCAGCTTTTTTCTTCTTGGGCCCTGTGCCTAAAATAATGTAACACAAAAGCAAAATAAAGGCCCTTGTTCATATCTCTGTTGTACCAGGTTTTCATTGCTCTGACAGCACAGACTTCACTGTAATTACACTGGCTTGTGTAAGATTGGAGCTCAGTGTGTTTCTTTTGAAACCTGCATGAGCAAACAGTGCTATAGGATTTCTGTCCATCTTCCTGGCATTATTTTGTTGCTTAAACAAGGCAATTTAGCTTCTGCTACAGTGGTACTGAAACAAATCTTATTATTTTGGAATGGAGATGTACTTGCTAATCTCTCCCATCACATCCTTAGCAGTGCCTGCCTTTTCCAGTTATAATTCACTGTAGGCTTGGAGCAGACACAGAAACATGCTGTGTTGTTAAAACTTGTTCCTGGTAATTCGATGTCTAGTCCAAGAACTCAGCCTATTGCCTATGGGCCATACTTTATTAAGGAATGAAAATTTGTTCTCTCTTCTCCACTTACCAGTGCTAACAATAAAAGACTTTTTCACCACGGGGAAAAGAAAAAAACCCACCTTTTCTGATGGTGGATATTCTTCACTGCTGTTGTGTTAATAATGAGGCTATGATAGCCTTGCTAGGGCTTCTACCCAATACGTGGTAGTTATTTGCAGTTCACTAAAAACAGAAGTACAGGGAAGTTATGGAAGTCAGATCCAGAGCCAGACTTTTTCACTGCAGTGTATCCATTCAACCAAACTGAACAGCAGGTCGCATCATCTTTGCATCTGGAGATGTTTCAGAGTTACTGTCCACTGCTAAACCAGGAGGTTTCTCAAGTTGGTCTTCTCGTTAACACATCCTTCCTTCTGCACTAGTGGGTTCTTGTTTCCCACCTGCAGTCTCATATCAGTTGTGAGCACTGATGTCACAAAACATATCTCACTGTCACTTTTTTTTTTTTCCCTCCTTTGCTGTTCCCTTGATATATATGGAATTACTCTTTTTTTGCTTGTTCTGGGAGAAAGAGTATCTTGTTTCCAGGCTGGTGGGGACGACCCTGTATGAGATGAACAATCACAATAAAATAATGCTACTGGAGCAGATTGCTGCATCCTCCCCACATCTAGCAAAAAGCATACTTGGAAAAGGTACCCAGTATGCACTGAAGCACTTTTTTCTGTTTGGTTCTTGTAATACTTTGTTGATTCTTTTGTGGAGGGAAATGGGTTCCATAGCCTGCAATGTCATTGGTTTTCTGGGCTCAGTGATTTCAAATAAATGTTGGAAGAGAAAAAAAAAAATAATTAAAAAAAATTAAAAGCTTCCCATCAGTCTCCATGTTTAAGACGAAAGGGTAAATTCATAGGCTGTAAATTTCTTAATTCTTTAGGAATTTCTATTCTGTTTATGTGCAATAATGTGTGTGAACTCTGCTACTAAGAGCTTGTATTGTGAGTAACCATATCTACTTTTATTCCTATTTAAAAGATAGTTTGTAGACCTAGAGATTTTCATTGATGTAAAGCACAATTTAATGAATTATTTAACGTGTTTAACCATTGTGATGTCAAAAGCGATTGTTTTCATATATTTATTTGTTGGTGGTTTTCTGTAAAATGATACTCATTAAGAAATCTGTTAAAAATGAAGAAGTTTTGTTGAATATTGTTGGGTCCATGAATTATTTATGAGCAACAAATAAACATTGTTTGCGTTTTTGAAACTCTAAAGGTTCCATTTTATCTACATAGCTATAAAAAATGACTGAAACTGCTTATGTCAGGCTTGTTTCAAGCATTACTAAAGATCCTCTGTGACCATAATTATGTTTTCCTAACAAGACATACGTGTATGGAGGAAAAACATGTTGATAAAATTAAAAATTCAATTATATTAGGGCCCAATACCAAATCCTAT